ATAAAAAGGCTTAACTCGATCCTCTCAAATGGAAGCTCTGGAGCTCAAGCTTCTGAAAAACTCAGCAATGACATTTGACACTCCATTGACATGTTGCAACACAACTAAAAGTTTAGACCATCTATTTCGCCCAACTCTGGAAGGAGCTAGTCGAGAAAACCTCAAGAAGACAACGACTGCTAGTGAACAAAATCTTAAGGGAAATTAAAAGGACATGAATTTCTCTCACCTCTTCTAGGAAATGAACCCTGTTCATTATCTAGGAAATTCCATCTCTCAACAACCAAGTGAGAAAACTCATCACAAAACTGTGGTGCACTCTCTCTCACTGGAACTGCACTTGACAAATCTTTTGCAGTGATCAAGCAGTTGGCCAAAAGTGCAGGTATATAATCACTTGACTCATCGCTTGGACAACTCCAGGAATCATTGGGCTCCCAAACCCTCGTAGGAAAGACATTCAAGACTATCTCAAAGAACTCTTCTTCCTCTTCCCTCTCTTCTTCACATTGTTCCTTTTGATTACCATGGGAACAATAGCCAGTCCTGTTGGTTTTCTTCTTTCCTAGAAGTTTTTTGAGGTGAGCTGCCACAAATCAGAGATGCGAAAAACATTTGCTCCCATGATACAGTGTGAAGATGACCATTTTTGATGTGTTGGTGCTGGCTCTTTAAGCAGCAAGAAAGTTAGGAGACTGTCGACTTAGCAATGATGAGAAGGGGGCACTTTTATGTCCAAACGCAATTTCATGGACATGACTAAGACAAGGGCCAAGTCCTGTGAGGGGAGAGAGTCAAGAACCTTACCCTGATGTGAGGAATTATCGGATAGTAAGCTGCATGTAGGATATAAGCACGAGAGCCACTTATAAACATACCAAAACATGAATCAAGGTTCATTATTTTAATAGATTAGTGGATGCCAATGGCTGATCTCTCTCTCTCCAAGAAAAAAGATTAGTGGATGCAAGGGCCTATTATAGGTAAAAAACCGTCAGTTTAACCACCATCACCAGCTCCCATCAGTATCTTCTAGAGAGAGAGAGGATATCAAGTTGGTGGGACAGTTGGTAAAAAATACAAAAATAAAATAGGAAAGTATAACCAACCATAACAACCATACCATGGCAAAAATCACATGTATAATGGAAGGGCATGAAATGAACTTCAATTTTATGGTAGCATGGTATTCCCATATATGATAGAGCAGAATAACGGATCAAAATTCGTGTAACTGACCTCAATGTATAACCGACCTCGATTAATTGAAAACATGCTATGATGATACAACCCACCTAAGAGCAAAACCAGCAAATGCATGCAGGACGCACGTTAGTAGAAAATAGTCATCCTTTCAACACATGGAACCCATAAAAATTGCCGCTTCCACAGCGCTTCTCTCATGGCTAAACCAGCCATTTCTTCTTTCAAGCATAAGAACCTGTTTGAATGGAAGCAGTTCCTCTGAACGATTACACATTTTGATCCCATTGATTATGTACTGAGACATGTTAAGGATCATTTGTTTGCTTCGAAAATAGATGATGTATTGATGTTCTAAAGCCATCGCCCACCCCAGCACAACCCAAAACATCTCTATCAAGTTTAGGAAGTAATGCCAAAACCTTCTAACATAATAACAATGCAAACTAAATATTATTTTGTCAATCCAAGTTTTCTTCGAACAACTGTTTGGGAGTCCAACGGCGATAAGGCAAAGGATCAAAATTGATCCAGGTAGTAATAATATTCATACGTTCATCAAGTTCAAGAAATCAAGTTTTATTTTTATAATATTTATGATTTTATTCTATATCTTTGCAGCCAAGCCAACATGGTTCTCCAAATTTACAAAAGTTATACCATTTGGATCTTAAACCTAACCACTTCCTCGTCTGGTTGTGAACATAATTGGAATACTTTTGAAGGGGTAAGGGTAATTTACATAATTGTATTAGTAATACATGAACTATAGATTTTAATTATTTAATATTTATATTAATTAATTTCATTTGATTTTATTAGATTTGTACAAAGAAAAGGAACAGGCTTGAATAAAAAGGCCCAATGACCTAGTTTATGTCAAGTATAACTTATTCTTGTAAGACAAGTTTGCTAAGAGAGATAAGAGAAACCCTCTCATATCAAAAAATATGGACAATGCTATAGAGTGGTTATTTGATGATGATGAGGTCGAAGAGCATAAAGAATTGACACGAGACATGATCATGGATGCTTCAGGGACATTTGTCGTCCCTCCTGTGGCCACTAAATCTTCTACACAGAGGACAAGGGTTGAGGAAGAGGAGAAAGAAGAAGCAGATTCAGAGAGACGAAGGAGGACCACCAATATTTCGAGGGTGACTCCGATGCATATGATGCAAATGCAGTTGACTCTACTTTTTCTGATGATTAATGATGAATAATGAATAATGATTAAACTTTGAACATTGATTGAAGATTCTTTTGAGTCTTCCAAGTATTACTTTTATTTTTGTTTTCTTCCTCTTTGTTGCGTATTGTGGATAGTGGATTTGTAGTTCCACTGGTTTGGTATTTGGTAACTATGGTTTGTAGTTTAGTTGTTAAAGTTTTAAGTTTTAATTGGATATGGACCGACTTATGGTTATGCTTATGGATTGTGTGCTAATGTGTAGTATACTTCTGAATATTGATGTGCTCTACATGCCTTATTCTTATATTTTATACAATATATATACTATTAGAAACTATAGAATCCTCATTTGATTCAACTGAGCCACCCAGGTTCTGGGTGCCTAGCTAGGCATTGGGCGGCCTAGACCCCCCAAACCACCTAGCACCTGGCATAGCGCTTTTTGAAACACTGTGTATCAAATTCAAAGAAGTACCCCAATCCTAATTAATATGTCATGAGCAAGAAAGTGAAGGCAAACGCAGATCAATTGTTTTTCTTCTGCATGATGGCCGCTTAGGTATGGGCTTCCATTCTAGGTCTTTTTGAATAGTATTTAAGTTTGGCCCAAAAGCATTAAGGTCCTTTCTCCACCTCTTTCTCAGATCCATTTCCTGCTGCAGGTCTATTTTTATGGTGAACGACCATTCTTGCCTCAATGGCAGTTGTGGCTCAACAATGCGAGAACTTTCAAAAGCAATGAGAGGAACATGGGGTAATCAGGTTACGGATTACCTGTCCCCTTAAGATTCAAGCCTTCAATTAGCATACTTTATCCTAGAAAGTTCTTGAAATGTATCAAATTCAAAGAAGTACCCCAATCCGAATTAATATGTCATGAGCAAGAAGGCCAAGGAAAACGCAAATCAATTGCTTTTCCTCTGCATGATGGCTTCTTCGGTACAGGCTTCCTTAGCAGTAAGTTTGGCCCAAAAGCATTGAGGTCCTTTCTCCACCTATTTCTCGGATCCATTTCCTGCTGCAGGTCTATTACCATTCTTGCCTCAATTTGGCATTTGTGACTCAACAATGCGAGAACTTTCAAAAGCGAAGTTAGGGACATGGGATCCCTGTTTTCAAAAATATAAAAGCCCCAGTTATATTTCCGGCGAAAAATTGTATGACTTTTGGTGGTGGCTCATCTGTAGACTTTCTATAGAAATGGGGAAGCATGAATCACACTTGGCCCATGGGCATCACAAGACCAGGTTTACACAAGTCTCCTCATTTGGGGGTTGTCAGACTCCTCAGGAAACCCTGGACCCTCAGGATGGATGGCCTCTTCAGGGACCTTCTAAGCCATCGTTTGCTCTCGTATTTAGGCCACATTGGGTACTCACCAGTACAGAGGCCTTGGCATTTCTCAAAAGACTGGAACTGTTTGACTCTTGTTGCGTCACTCACTCCAAGTTGTTAGGGATTCATTCAATGTCATCAAATGTGCCTCCAAACAGACTCCTTGCCCCTACCTTGAACATTTGTTTGACCATAGATTGGCATTTGCTAGCAACCTTCAGGTCTCATTTAGTCACATATGGCAGAAGGTTGATGCATAGGCTGATACTCTCGCCAAGGAGGTAACACAAAAGAGTTTGTAATCAACATGTTACAGTCCTAATGAGACAGTTTTGTAATACATGTTGTTCTCTTCCTTTTCTTCTAGTCGCTGAGTTTGCCAATTTACAACAGTATGCAACTTGTAATTACTCTTCACAGAAATAAAAAAAATCAACTTTTATCTCAAAAAAAGAACGACCAACAGGCATCTTTACCTTCTGCCTACCACACCTCTACTCCAAATTTTATTCAGTTTATCCCATCACCACAGAAACTTTTAGATTTTTCTACCTCACTATGTATTTGAGATCCTGCTCATGATATCTTTATCCTCTAATCCACCTAATTAGCCTTCTCATACTTTTTAACAAACAGCCCTTTCTCCTCACATACTAGAGTACATCTTAATAACCTATCAGAAGTACAACCAAAGCCAGTATAAAGTACAATAAGTATCCTTCACCTATTGGAGAAGCAAGATCAAAACCTAGCAAACCAAAAGCTACCAAAGAAAAATACCGCAAGCTACACCATGACACTAAGCGTCAACCATTTTGGCAGGCCCCTCTCCAAATGTCAAGGGTAACTCATGCATCGTACATGTCACTCACACGATCGTCGACACTTTTTCTAGAAAGAGGCTTCTTATAGGCAGGTTGAGGAAGATACAGTCACATGGGTGACTAATGACTGCAGACAAATCACCAAAAAAAAGTGCAGGTCAAACACAAAACATTATGGGGAAAAACTGATACACGTTAGGATAACTTGCATCTTGATTGGAATTTCTCGAATATATGCAATTCCTCTCGATTCGTAATTCAATACAAAAAATAGTTGGCTATATGATACTAGATATATGTTGTGCAATATCAACTATTTCCTAAGAAGGTGGTGAGATGATATCTTGAGCAGTTACATATTTAGGACCCCTGCATAGATAATTGCATCACGAGTTCCATACAGATCATTTCTGAATAAAATTTCTCTCAGATTCATTAACATTTCATGTACTGATCCTTCAATATCTACTATTATAAAAGATTCATGCCATGGTTTACATGGATGGCTTTGCAAAGGAAGCTACTGGCCGCCAATAAAGTGCAAAAGTGGGGCTACTTGGATGTAATATGTACTTCATATGCAAAGCCAATGTCGAAGATCATGACCACCTCTTCATCAGATACACCTTTGTAGGAAAGATTATGCAAACTGCAGGTGAAGATTTCAACGACACTAAGATGGTCCTAACATCCAAAGCTTCTTTCAAATTCATCCAAAAACACATGTCTAGAAGCTTGTAAAAAAGCTTTGGAGTTCGAAGCACCTGGCTAGAGAGAAACTGAACCAGCACACCATTCAATGGGTGCAGAGGGAAATGACCTGGAAGGTCTGAAATTGCTACCACAAGGATCACTCCCCTAAGAAATGAAAGAGAGAGGGCCACAACTGAAAGACGGGGAACACAAATTCCCAATGAACCCTTGAGAGAGGATGGCCATATGTAGGAAGATTCCTGTGATAGCAGAGACATAAAAATTGTAGTGAAGATAATGTACAAAATGAGGACTAGTTCCTAAACTCTTGTAAAACTTGAACAAATTAATAGAACGGGAGAGGTGCACATACTTTGCTTGCATAATGAAATGTAAATATCAAGATTTCAGATAGGCCAATCCAAAAATTGCTAAGACACGGACACATAACAGCATAAAATAGTTATAAAAATTATGAGAAATAAGATTGATAAAACAACTACATCGTGACAATTGATTGTTATATAATCAGTTATCTTCAATTTTTTATTTTTTATAAGGATATCTTTCGGAAGATGATCAAGTCCTATACATGCATGCCTATGTGCGTTTGGTCTATCTAAAAATTTTATTATACCATGTAATAAACTCTTCCTGTTATAAATAGCAATGTATTTAAACATTAAAGGTATAATTACAACAGAGAACCATAATGTGTAAGGTACTCAAAAACAGTTGGAAAAATTATACTCGTTACAAAGTTGAAGTAAAACTGTCCTGAGGTATCAAAGGTGTAGAAGGCCAGACAAATGTTGGACCAACCAGGGAGCTAAATGAAGTTCCATAATAACAATTCACACCAGTGAAACTCAAATTTTCGGGTGCAAGAAATCAAAATATCAGACATGTTTAAGTCAACATGGTCCATGTAGTGCCATGTGTGCATCATGCACTTCTCAATGGACTAAAAAGGACACTAAAAGATCAGTTGCAAAACCTAGGAGTTAGGGAAGACAAGACTCCCCACTTTGAATCCTCAATCCGGCTCCACTGTCCAACTTGAACCTCATTCTTTAGCCAACTACAAAATCCTTCCAAATAATGAATTTCCTCACTTCCACATTTGAAATAATAGCACATGCTAATGCTTCTAATATAGATCATCCCTCTTGCTATGCACCTGCATACAAAAACTTGGGATTCTGCTGCTGTTTTACACTTTGTTAAGCATCTCATTAGAAGACTCAACGTTTCCATAGATATAACCCCATAATGCCCCACAAATCCTGGAGACTCATTTCAAAATAGGAATTATGCACATCTCAATATATTCAACCAGTCCTTTTCTTCCACTTACATGTTTAAATATGAGAACTCTGAGGTAAACTAGCATTTTTATTTTTTTTCTTTAGAAAGCAGTGCATATCATAATTATATCAGATTTTCATCAACTCTTGCAACTCCCACACAGATGCACCATGAGGCTGTTACGATTCCCTTGGTCATAAGAGAATGGAACGCAAACAAAAACTTATGTCACAAGTTGTTGGCCATTGGTATTCAAGGACATCAAGGCTTCAAACCATGAAGTTTCCCACAAAAAAAAATCTGATCTACCCCCTTTTTTGTCCGTTGTGCAGTGATTGACCTGTCGGTAGACGCCTCCGTTTTCAAGTGAGACGTCGAGCATTCAACACATGAAGTTTGTCAAAAAAACAAACCAAGCTCATCTACCCATTCTCGTTCCTAAGCTTTGGCCTAGCTGCATTTTTATTTTTATTTTATTTTATTTTGTAGGGGGTGGGAGGGGTGTTTGGGTTAGTGATAGTTCAATGGTAGGAATCGAACTTGAGATATAGCACTGCAAAAGTCAACCACTAACCACTTAAGCCCAATTCCTAGCTTGGAATTAGCAGTAGACATCCCAGATTTGTATGCCGGAGGTCAAACGTTCCACGCTCAAAGTTCATCACCAAAACAAGATAATTTCTTTTCAGAATTCAGGCATGGGTTGATTGATTATGGTGTTGACAATAGCAATACCGCATGCCACATTTCAATCCCAACAAAGATCTGTCCCAAAAACTCAGTCCACAGTTATCATCATTATAACTCATTCGACATGATGACTGCAATGACAAAGGACTCCTGCAGATCTGAACAAAATGCAAGTAATTGGTTGTCGTCTTCAAAATAGAACTTGTACGTTGATCCCTTCAAAAACAGGGACTTTAATATTTTCCGAATATTGCCCACATCAACATTGATAATATTGCCAGAGGGAACAAGAAATAGAATATCAATTTCACATGATTTTCGATGACTGAAATACAAGAAACTAGAATTTCTTGAAACAACATCCAAATGCATGGCCAATGTGAACCAAGAACACCAGACCCAAAACCTAAAACATAACCCAGCATCTCATTGCCTTAGACACATATACACCAGAGAATGGAACTTGGGGAGAAACACAACAATGTACATATATAACAACTATGTGGAGCAAGTTGTAGATATTAATTGTCAAAAGAAATAAAAAATTCACCAATAACGCCCCTCTAGGTGAAGATCAATAGAGTGATGAAATCCATTAAAAAAAAAAAAGATCAATAGAGTGATGAAGAAAATATGTTCAATCAAAAATCCAAACAAACAATAACTCCTAGCGTTGAGAACCTACAAATTTAGCACCTAAAGCCAACTGGATGTTTTGTATTTAGTCTAAAAAATGAATTCAGGTCAGATAAATAATACCCTACGAAGTAAAGGATGATACGTTCTTCTTTTAAAAGTAGTAGTAATTAAATCATAATTCCTAGAAGTTCTGTTTTTATGAGTAACAAGTCCAGAAATATTCTTAGTTGCCCGTCACATAGTCCCATAAGGTTCCAAAGAGGTAGCTAGGATCCAGCCTTCGCAAGTACAGGTCCAATTTGATTCTTTCCAAACCAAATAGACACATGAGAAAGCTCAATCACAACTATAATAACAGTAATCTTCTTACAATTTCATTTTTCCATCCTGTCAAGAACATTACCCGCCACCACTTCAATAGATTTTTGAAATTGAGAGCCATATCTATTCATTCAATATGAACTGAATAAGACAATAGCAATGCTTGCCCCAGGAGCCAACTTAGTTAACATATTCCATCCAAGATTTATAATAGAAATAAAATGATCATGAATGAGTACATATGTCACATCCATTGTGAAACATGTCAATTCAACAGCCACAAGCAACAATAGAAATGGTAAAATGATTGCAGTTCCCATGAATAAAAGAATGCACGCAGAAGAATACAAGTAAAAGATCCATATGACATCCTAATATCCTTTATAAAAACACAACCAACTCCGAGAAAAGAAAAAAACACATTCATCAGACAGGCTTTACAATATCAACCCAACCAAAAAACAAATAGAAAAAGAAGCGTTTTACATCTTTAAAAAAGAACTCCCTCGAGTTCAATTTTTGAGCTCCTACCAAAAATACAGATCCAGATCCAAATCCTCTGCGCCATCAGAACAAAACCAACAAAGAGAATAGCAGATACACCAAGCAACAAGCATAAGCCACCAATCCTCGATGCTCTTCCCCATAAGAAGCAATACCAATAAGAAGCCTGGTACAAACCCTAGTCGACCACATCACAAAGAAGGCCCCCAATCCATACATGACCATTGTCCCTTGTGGAATAAATAGAGAAATTGCAGATAAAATAACAATGGGGAGCATACCATATCCAACCAAGCTCAAGCAAGTGTACAACGTCAAGGTCCCATTACTCCCAGCTAACATATTGAACGCGACATAGATAAAGCAAGCTGACACCGAGATCCACCCCAATATGATACCAAAATGGAGCTTTCCTGCAAGTAATTGGAACAATCCAAAAAGCAATAGATAGAGAAAGGGGCCTGATAAATCTCCATCATCAAAAAAACTAGGATTTGATTTAAAAGGGTTGAGAATCGATTGGGTTTCCCTATAAATTTGTCGAGTGTTTATACCGAGCTCTTCAAGGAGAGGCAGATCGTCTTCAAACGTAGGGTTTCCATAGATGGGAGCAGAGAAATGGGAGGAGGAGGAAGAGGAGGCGGAAGCAGAGCTCATGTCAAAGGACATGAAAGGAAGATTGGGGTTAGGATTAGGATTAGGCGGGCGAGACTGAGGCATGGTTTGGGGTTGGAAAGGAGTAGAAGGGGCTCTTCTTTGTTGAGGGCCTGGATTTGGGAAAATCACAGGCGGGACGTTGAATTCTCTAGATGAAGGCATTGAAGAGAGATCGGAGAAACAGAGAACAAGAAAGAGAAGGGCCCGTAAAAAGAAAGGCCTGCAATAGTAGCAAGAGGTAGGGAGAGAGACCTGCAAAAAAAAAAAGAAAAGCAAACCCCAGACTTGAGAACTGAAAAACTTGGAGAACCCTAGAAAAGTAGTAACTTGTTAATTGAGCAGTTTGTGAAATAAAGACGCATTAGGATGAGAGAAAAAAAATAAACGGGTAGGACCCTAGATAGAGAGAGAGGGGTATTAATGAAGAAACGAAGAGGTAAAGGTTAAGCTGTGAAGCGGGTACCTCATGTATGATGCCTCTGGTGCGAAGGAAGAGGGAATGGGTCCGGTTCAAGTCTAGGTTCCTAAGTAAATATAATTAAATACATGAATAAATTTTTGGATCAGGTTTCATCGGGTCCAGTCAAGTTTGGGTCCATGTCCCCACACTAAATTTTTGGGTCTGAATGCGGATCCAGGTCCAACCAACCCGGCCCGTTGCCACAACGCGATATGTATCACTACCGGTGTAAGAAAGTGCGACTCAGACCCAGTAATCGATCCTAGCCCAAGCCGATTACTCAAGCCGAGTCCAACTAACTCGTTTGATTAGTGCCAAGTAATGTAGCAGCAAAAAAAAATTATAAAAATATAATAAATTTGGAATTGTGTTTTTAAAATAAGATTAAGCAAAACACTTCAAAATGATGATTAAAAATAATAATTAAAAAATAAATTTTAAAAAATCAACTTGTGATTAGGGATATTCTCAAAATAATTCAAAAAAATAGAAACACTTTCCAATCTTTGCCAAAATGATAGAAAACAATAT